CAGCCAAAATGGGTTTGTTTACTTCTAGAAACAGCTGAAGTGTGTTTATTTCCATAAAGATACAGCCGAAATGCATTTGTTAACTTCTAGAAACAGCTGAAGTGTGTTTGTTTACTTACAATAACAGGAAAAGTAGCTGAAAAGTGGTCACACTGTAACGTCGTGGTTGCAGCAGATGTTCTGAGTGTGGACTTTGAGTTCCATCTTCATGATCGTCCGGTCTGATTCCTGATGTTTATTCCTGACTGTCGTTTCACTCGTTTGTTAATTTCTTTAGCTGCAGGCTCTGATGTTTCCACATCTTCTCTGTGATTCTACGCACTCTGATTCCTCCATATTTGTTTACCTACAGCTGATCTGATGCAGGTTGATCGTTTGACTCAAGATCGTGCTGTTGTTTACATTCAGTGCAGACCTGCATTTCAGAACTACGTCACAATTTATCTGCATGTTCAACTAGTGGAGTAAACTCTTTTAAAGTGCAGTTTTAAAATCCTGACTGATAGAAACCATCGTCAGACATCCAAACCAAAAGAACATGATCCCTTTCTCTTTAAAAAAACACAAACCATGTTGACACAGTAAGTGGAACTTTGTGTCAATATTAAATAAAAGCAGCTGTTTCAGAACATACTCCCGACATGTTTGCAGGTCTCCTAATGGTCCCGGTCTGGTCAGCTGGCCTCAGTACGACCGGAACAAGCAGGACTACATGGAGCTGGGTCTGACTCAGACGGTCAAGCAGAAACTGAGGAAGGACCGGATCCACTTTGCAACTGTCACCCTCCCTCAGAGGCTGGAACAGCTGGAAGCAGCTGCACCCAAATATCCAAACTGACCCAGCGCTGTTTTTATTTTCTTCTCCTTCAGTTTTGATGATTCCTCACAGAAACTAACTTGTCACTGAATGTCACTGAACGCTTTCGTCACTTGTCTGTGTTGAACTTGGAGATTTGGAACATAACTGCAATTAAAGAAACCTTTCAGCTCACAAATGAACAAATGTTTGTGTGTTTTTACGTGCCTGAGCGTATTTCAGTTACTGTAGCTGCAGAGGAGGTTTTCAGTCACAGTAAAAGCCTTAATCTGCTCCGAGCTGCATGGCAAAACATCTGCAACACAGAGTGACCCCCAGACCCACAAACCGAACAACACTGAACTGGACCAGAACATGAGAACAACAGAAAGGATTTAAATACAATATTTCCTGTTCCTTCTCCTCAGGTGTAATTAGGAGTCAGCCATTAAGTTACAGCTTCTTTTAAAGAAAGAAAGCGAGTCAGAGTTAGACACAGCTACAGCATTCGATGAAGAGCCATCAGCTTCATCGTGTGTTCAGGATCAACGTGCTGAGATTTACCAAAATCTTTAATCTGGAAATACACTGGAAAACAGAAACATCAGCTTGTTGCCAGATAATGAGCCAGTATTTACTGTACCTGCTATTCTTACACTTTAGATTTAATCTTTATCATTTAGGATTTAAATATCAAACATTTGTCAAAAAGTTTCCCGTAAGCAAGTGGAGAGACTTTATTTTCGCTTATAAATTGTTTAGTTATTAAAAAAGCAATTAGCCAACCTGAATTAAAATACAGCAATTAATCTTGCTAAATAGTAAGCCAGTTTTAACCTATGAACAGTGTATTATAAATAATGTTCAATGCTTTATAAAGTGTCCTGATGCATGCTCAATAATCCAAGTAGAAAAATATACCAGTTAATTCAGGTCCTCTGGACAGATATAAAAAAAATCTTGAAACATTTCATCTTATATCCAAAAGACTTGTCAGTCTGAGGAGCTGCATTAAACTCAGTCTTACAAATAGCACCTAGCATAGTGGATTAACCATTTTCTCGGTGACAGCCAAAACTAGTTGTTCACATGATCAAGGACCATCATCCTAACGACCAATCGTTAATGACCGCTTGCTATTCACAGAGGGCTGAGTGATCAGTAACAACAACGTAAGAAGGTGACCATTGGACACAAAGGCCTATTTAATGATGGATGGTTTTAGGCTTTGCATTGCATTTGCACGTTCATTCAACCTTTATGTATACAGGTGAATCCCACTGAGCCTCGGGGACTCTTTACAAGAGAGACCTGACATGTATTTTTTTTTTCAAAAAGCATCTTTTATGAAAGTATCTTAATCGTAAAGTTGTACTCAATATTTTATTTGAACACCTTTCATGTGGTTTCCCAGTGAAAATGAACTTTTATTGCGAAAGAAAAGCTCCTGAGCGTTGATTGGCTGATTCTCGTGACGTCATGGAGGTCTCCTGTCGCGCCTCTGTTTGCGCAGGCGCACCAGTGAGGAGGCTTGGTGGAGGAGAGGAGCTCCAGCTGCTGCGTTGAAACGGTGAGGTTCGCCGCCGCTGCTCGGTTCGGGTTCGTTCAGCTGTTTTTAACCTTGTTTTCAGGTTAAATATGGATCTAAAATGTTGCAAGATGATTATAAAACCGTTTTAGTCGCGCTTGTTTGTTTGAATGTCTCAGGGGTCAAAGCGGAGGTTAGCTCGTGAGATGTTCTGGTTGTGTTTTTCTGGAGCTCATCCCGCCTCGTGTTGATGTGTGTTCGGTTCCGAACCTCCGTGGGCCTGCCCGTGTCCGTGCATAGCTCCACGGACAGACTCGGGTCACGACAGAGCTTCCAGGAAACGTGAAGCGCTTTCTGTGTTTGTTCAGGGCTGCTTCCTCCGGGAGGGACGCTCCGCACCAAACCTCGTTCTAAAAACCCAGAATTTCGGATCATCTAACTCGCTGACTCGTAAAAACACCTGATCAAACCCGATTCTGCACTTTTCTGAACTGGTTCTACACCAGCCAGCGTTCGGCTGGCAGCTCAGCCTCCAAGCGAGTTGTTTCTTGTGTTTCAAGACTTATTTAAGTAATATACACCTGAATAGGGTCGGAGGTGTTGTGTTTTGTTGGGTCAGATGTACCAATTGTAAAAGAGGATCTCTTTTGATCTCATGGACTTTATGTCAGGTTAGCCTGCTTTCCAACAGGCAGGACTTAACAAAATATTTTGTTTTAATCCTGTGATCCAACGTAAACCTCAACAGTTAGTCCTCTAATTAAATAACTGATGGATTTCCTGATGCATGCTCAATAATCCAGGTAGAAAAATCTAAAAAAGTTAAATCTGGTCCTCTGGACATTAAAAAAAAAAAAACAAAAAAAAAACAAAGCAAATCAACATTCTACATTTTTTTGTTGATTTGCTTTGTTTTTTTTTTGAATGTCCAGAGGACCATATTTAACTTTTTTAGATAACTGATGGATTGTTCATCATAAATGTCTTCTACAGCAAAAACATATTTATTTGTTGGAATAAAATATAGTTTATTGTATTTTCTGTATTGCCTTTGTTTACTTTAGTGTGAATTTATCAGTTGCGATCAGATTTCCTGGGTAAAGCCACAGATGTTTGGTGTTAGAGGTCATTATTTGTCAGGTGGAAGCTCTCAACATATTTCTGGACTGACAGAAACCCAGCTTATCTGGACAGGCACATGGAGCATAACTTCCTCCCTGATTTTCCCAGCATGCACTGCCTGTTTTGGTCATGGCTTCATTGTTCGTGTGTTTGTTGTTTTTTTCTGGTCAGGTAATGGAGAATGATGGGCAAGCTGCATGAGCTGAGAATAAGAACACTAACCACTGAGCCCGGTTCATCCTGTGAGAACGCCTCGGGGTGGTTCTGGTTCTCTGGTTAGATTCAGACCCTTTAATCCCAGCTGAGGTTCTGATGCTCCAGAGCTGAAAGATATTTATAACGTTTGAAATCCGCCTCAGGAACCACCTGACGTGGGGCTCTGCATTTGGACCCTGGGATTTTATCACAGCTGACAGTTCTGCTGAACTGGGTCGTTCCCACTTGTTGCAGAGAGGAGCTGATAAAAATGCTCACTGTCCTCGTGATCACACCGACTCCTGGTGCTGGTTCTGATATGGTGGGACGTCCAGGACTCACCTGAAGCTGCTGCAGGAGTCCGTCCTCGTCTCAGATCTCAGATTAAATTAGTTGGTTTTACATACAAACACCGAACCTGCATTAACTCTGAGCGTGCGCGCACAGTGACACTAAAAACTGCTAAACAAGCTGAACTTTAGCTGTTACAGCTAAAACAATAGCTAACTGAAGGCTAAAGGTCACTTAGCTCAAGCTGAAACTGTCAATGGCTTAAATGTCTTTCAGTTCAGTGTTTATAAAATGACACGTTCTGTGTTTAAACTTCATGTGTTCATCTGAGACTTTAACTCATTTTAGGATTTATTTTTCTTTTAACCATTTTATCATCAGAAAGTAGAACGAGTGTTTAAATAAGGAGGATCGTCTCAGACAGGCTGGTAAACTTAATTAATTAATTAATTTGACCTATATTTAACCACATTAGTCACAATGATGTTTGTTAAAAAGAAAGACAAAGACAAAAACTCTTCTAAACCTAATATATAAAAGATTTGGGACTGAGTGAACTCTCTGATGCAGCCTCTGTGACTGAGATGTCCCTGAGGACGGCTTAATGGGGGACATTGGAAAAACAAAGGACACCAAAGGATTGTGGACCAGAAAATCCAAGTTGTGGAGCAGTTTCTTCTCCTGGGAGGCTGAACTTGGTTTCAGCTCGTGGCCGTAGGTGAGGACAGTCCCTGCATGCTGAGGCAATATCCCAGAATGCTGCAGTGGCTGAGGGGGTGGGGGTGGGATTTATTGCTTCATATGGTTCATAAAGCTAGAGTGACGAAGATAAATGAGCAGAGCAGCAGGACTTTTGCTGTAATAATAGGAGAAGATGTCCTCTACATCATGGAGGACATCTCTTGTCCAATCAGAGTTAGACAGAGGGGGACATGAACTGATGGTTCTTTGGACACCGCAGTGGTCTTCATTTGATCTTCTTTATTGCACCATAAAGGACACGAAGCATGAAGGACGAGAAGCAGGACTGTCCTCTCAGAGAGTTTCTATTCACACTGCCTTAAATATGAGAATTTCTGACCATACCACCTTAAATATGAAAAGTCTTGCTGTTCTGATCATACACCCATAAATATGAGAAGTCCTGAGCCTACCGCCTTAAATATGAGAAGTCCT